AAAAACCTTTAAATGGTTTTAGGCTTACACATATAGTAATTGAAAATTATGCAAACCATAGAAATTCCTATTCTATATACAAATAGCATTCCATATAAATAATAATGAGTGAAAAAATAGTTTCATTTATACTTTTGAATATTCTCTATATTTGGCATTTACATAAATTTACAACAAATAAAATTAACAAATTCTGGTTTTAATAACTTTTATGTATTTATGTAATTATTGATAACATTATCTAATGTTTAGTGAAAGTAATTCCTAATAAATAGTTTGAGTTAAAAAGTTTAATGAAATGTCATTTCGAAACTTCATAAGAATTGTATTTTCATTTGTATTCATATATTGTGCTAATTGTGAGCAAAAGTTAGAGCTTTTATGGGCGGATGAGTTCGAGAGCGAGACATTCAACAGAAGCAAATGGCATGTCTTCGACGAATGGAAGAGTAGTGTCTGCAGAGGTAATGATACGTCAGAATAAACTCTTTATTATAGACTTTTTTAAAGAAAAAACTATTAATACTTTCACACGAAATGAGAAAAATAATTACAAAACTTTGTACTTTGATGAGGCAATGAGCTGGGTCAGTTGCACTGCAATATGGATCAGCCGCGAAACCTACAGTTGAGGGACGGGTGTCTGGCCATTGCGGCCACTCGTGAGACCAGTTATAGCGCCGCCATTGACATGAAATACTCGGCGGCAATGATAACGACGGCCGAGAACTGGACGTACGGCCGCTTCGAGATTAGGGCCGCCCTTCCCAAGGGCAAAATGTTGCGGCCGGCCGTCTATTTGGTGCCCGAGAGGGAGGAGGAGCACTGGCCCCGCGACGGACAGATCGACATCTTGACGAACGTACAGAAGCCTAAACTGGGAAATGGAGCGCATTATACGGGCAAATATCACGGATCCGGACTCGATTTCGTGACCGGAGGGGCGAACCTTCAGGACTTCCACACATATGCCGTGCAATGGAATCAAACACTCATTCAATGGTTTTTCGACGAAACGAATCGCGGATTGGATTTCAATATCGACCGAAAACTGGACGTCTCTTACGAGCGCACGCGACAGCCCTTCGACCGGCCCTTCAGAATACGCCTTTCCCTCGGAGTG